GGACCCTGGCCGCCCCGAGCGGAGACTGGAGGTGAGCGCTGGAGCCGAGGGAGTGAGCGCGAGCGCGACTCGCTTCCCTTCCCTTGGCGCCCCTCTGGTCACCAGTCCCCCGACCCTGGACCCACCCGGGACCCGCGCCCCTAGCCTCTGGCTTCGGAATAACTCGGGCGGAACTTCTTCCCACCGCCGCTGCTCCTCAGCGCTTAGGAAAAGTTTCCCACAAAGTGAAAGAACTTTCTCTTTTGACTTGGGGAGCGAAAGGTTCCAGATGACGGGGAAGGTCGGGCGCCCTCGCCGCAGCCGCCCTCGGAGCGCAGATCCTCTCCGCCGTCGGCGCTTTCTTACCCCGCTCGGGTAGGAGGTGGGTGAGTGGGTGGTGGTGCGCGGGGGTGCCCGAACCTATCCCGATCGCTGTCCCGCTCTCGCGCGCGCTTCGTGTCCCGGCGCCGCGGCTCGGGCGCAGATCGTTGGCGAGGTCGGCCGACCAGCGCGAAGCCGGGGGCTTGCGGAAGCGCGGCCGGGGGCGCTGAGCCGAATGAATGGAGAAGGGGTGGGCGGGCCGGGGTCGGGGGCGCGGCCGCGGGGGGTCGCTCTGAGCTTCCCAGAGCGCTCTAGGTTCCGACTGCGAAAGGAGCGGGGAGTGAAAGTTAGCCTAAGTTTGGAGGTGGCGAGCGCCGGTGTAGCGCTGGCCCGGGGCGGAGAACAGAGAGGGCTCCCGGGACAGGCTGTTTGTTGTCAGGCTCCTGGACCCGGGACTTCCTGTCCCAACCTCTCACGCTTTTCTCTCTCGTACCTGCGACTTTCACTCTGGCTTTTCTTTGAACTGATCTTCGTTCGGATTTCTCTACTTAGCGTCAGCGGCTGCCCACCGTGGGGAGAAGGGCGGGTGTGTTGTCACCCGTACAGATATTTAAGAGAATGACATTGTGGTAGTGCCAGGATTTTAAGAGGTTATACTACACCCGATGTCCTTAAACCTCGGTACCCCTAACTGGGAAATACGGACACCCGGACACTAGGCGCCCCCTCTGCCTGTTTGCCAACACGATGTGGTGGTCGGACGGGTGGTCACTACGAGCCTTTCGGCCTGAAGGTTTTAAGATTTTAGAGGTGGTGTAGTTGAGAGGAAGGGGAACTTGAACAAGGGGGTCTCTATCTAATGTCACTGACCTGTCACCCCGACAGGGAGGTGGGGAGGTTTTCTCTGTGGGGTATCTTTTCCACTTCCCCCACTTACTTTCCTGCCTCACCCCCATTTTCATCACTCGGTTGGGCTCCTTTCCTCCTAATTTTCTTTTCCCTGCTTTCATTACATAGAACATATATGTTTTCTGACAAGTAAATGAGTTACTAAATTCTTGATAGAGCCAGGGGGAAAAATGGGAGCAAAAGATCTAGATGTTTTTTGGGAGAGGGAGAAAGAAAAAGAGGGAGAGAAAGGAGTGAATTACCGAAAGAAAAATGAGAAGGCTCCCAGAGCTGCTGCAGGTGCTGGCTGCTATGGCCGTGGGGTATGGCGGCGAACGGCAGTTGGCTGGTGGTTAAGGGCACTGGACTCCCACATGGCCAACTGTGCTTGAGTCCCGGTTCTGACCCCTTGCTTTCTCGCTTTTTCTCTCCCCCTCCCTCCTTCTCTGGTCAAATTAAAAAAAAAAAAAACGTAAGTAAAGTCATTCTTTAAAAAAAAGAGAGAGAGAAAAGAAACTCTAGATGTTCTCCCAGTGTTCCCATTTCAGTGTGGTGACAATCACATCTTCTGTTTGGGGCCTCTGTCTCCCCAACCTAAACTGGAGGAGAGATTAATATTCCTGTCCCCCTTGATTTAGCATTTAGCATTTGTTGCTCCATATTGTTATAACATATGGGCTCTTGCTTTGAGGCTATCCTGTACAAGGGCGGAGTGGGCTGGGGGTTGTCTGGCTGGTTTAAGAGACAGCAATGAAGGCCATACCCCATGGCCGTAGCACTCAGCACCTGCGGAGCTCTGGGAGCCTTCCAGTTCTTCTGTCTGAAGTCCCACTCCTTTCTCCCCCCTTTTTCTTTCTCCCTCTTCCTCTTTGCCGTTAACCACTAAGGAATTCCTTTCTCTCCAAAGCTCCTTTCCAACTCCTCCCTGTTAGCTCTGTGCAAGTCTCCTATGTGGCATCCAGTACTCCTACTGCCTTGTGGGTTGACCCCCTGTGAGGTGATGGATCCTCAGTGGTGATGAAGCGAAATGACCAGTAGGTTGATGGTCAGCAGTGTGGCCTGGGCTCGGCTGCTCCCCGGGTTTATGGCCTCAGACACATCATTCCACCTTCCTGGACCTCACTTGCTCAATGGCAAAATGACGCTGTGACCCGGGTGACTGTAACATTGGGTGTTCTGTGATCCCTACTAGAGAGCCCATGATTCCTTCCTTTTTAAAACTGGCCGGACACAAGACAATGTCAGATGCTCCCTGTGTTACCTGGCAGGGGACGAGGCTCCACATGTGAGAACTGGCTGTCACTCAAGGATGGAACGCTAGGGGGGAAGTGCTGGTGTCAGCAAAGAGCCAGATGGAGTTCACCTGGTACGGCAGGAGTTAATCAAAGTGCAAAAGAGCTTGTGACTGACCTGAATTTCTTTAGGATTCTAGTTAATTCCTGACTGATAGGACTAAGCTGAACTGACAACAAGAGAGTGAGTCCCCCTGAATTGGGGAAAGTGAAGTCACAGTAATTATGACTCCCAGTGTGTGTGTAAATCTCTCATGGTTTTCTGGTTTTTTTTATTATTATTATTATTTATTTAACTTTATTTATTCATTCACTCATTTTTGATTTTTCCAGAGAACACACACAGAGAGAGAGAGAGAGAGAAGGTGAGAAAGCAAACCACCAGGTCCAGGATTTGAACCGTGGTCGGCCATGTGGGAGCATTTTTTTTAGAGTTTTTGTTTGTTTTGTTTTGTTTTGTTTTGTTTTGTTTTGTTGCTAGAGGGCACGTGCGCTCACCAGAAAGACAGAGAGAGACAGAGAAAGTGAGAAATCACCCCCCAGGAGGAATGGTCATGCACAATCCCTTCTTCATTCTCCTCTCAGGATTTTGGGTATGCACACACACGTGCCTGGGATGAGTTTAAGCCACCAGGTCAGGGACTTGAACCACCGTTGACTTCATGGAAGTTCAGCAACATAGCCATTATGCCCACTGTTGGTCCCAATCTCCTATGTTCTTTTGGCAACCCTTTGAGAGAATTAGGGTTGGCAGTCTTGATCTCATTTTACAGATGAGGAAACTGAAGCGCCCAAAGCCTAAGTGGCCTGTGAATGGGTTCCCTACTTGTGAGTGGCAGGGACGGGCCTGGAACTGTCTCTGACCTGAAGCCCAGCCTTATATCTACAGCCTTCAGTGGACTGGGAGAAAATGCCAAGATATAGAGAGTTAGTGAAAGGCCAGTATTGATTTCCTGGAACCGTACGATGATTAGTGAGTGGCAATTAGTGGAAAGAGATGAAAACTAAAAGTGAAATTTCAATGTAGTTACAGCTACTAGGAAATCTGGGAGCTGCATTTCCAGTTAAGAAATACATAAGTAAAGTTTCACTTTCTTTAAAGTGATGAAACTCTCAGTGATATGACATGACTTCTGATAGAAAATAACAAAGCAGAAGAAAAATGCAAGTTCTTTGTGGAATGTCTGAATAATTTCACGGTCAATGTGGGAAGTCAGCTCAGATCTTCTAAGGTCCCCCCCAAAACAGTGTTTTTCTTTGACGAAAATGAAGAGGATGTTAGAAGCTCTCAACTTTCTGAAAAATCGCCTGAAGGTGTAACTTCATTTTCCTTGTGGGGACATACCCTGAATCTAGGCTGAATCATACTTTAAAAGATTGAGTAAAGAAGTAACAAGAAGGTACCCCAAGAAGCTGTTCTAACCCTGTACAGAGAAAGTCCAAATCCCTACAGATATTACTGCTTTCTTTTCTGAAAGGCTTTGAACATTTTTACAACCCATTTCTGTCCCCAGTGGAGCCCACCCGAAGTTTTTCATAAAAACATTCCATACCGCTGACATTCTTCAGTTTCTTTCATCAGGTCTGCTGACTTTACACTAAGCAGGACAAAATGAAAGTCCCAAACAGCAGACCCCAAACCCTGAGAGCTCATTAATAAACTTGGTCGGTGGCAAAATAGACACTCAACTGCAGTGGAATTCAAACTACCACGAAGAAGAAGCCATCCAGTCCTCCCAACAAAGCAGCCCAGTGGTAACCCTGAATTCCATCCCTGGCCGATTGGGTTTTTAATAAACTTGGAAAGAGAGAGGAGACATAATTGCATGGCAGAATCTTAAGCCTCTGACTTTAGAAGGATGGTTTCACCTGACACAGAGAAGTTCCCTCCCAGGATCCTAATTTTAGAAGATTAAATTGAGGGACCAGCAGATGGCATAATGGTTATGTCACTGGACTACCAGGTAGTCAATCCTTGTTCGAGTCCCGAACCTGCAGCTTAAAATTCATGCTGAGTACGTGTGTGTGCGTGCCCAAAATCCTGAGCAGAGAATGGAGGAGAAGGGATTACAGTGTGGCCATCCCCCCTGGGGGGGGGTGATTTTTCACTTTCTGTCTCTCTGTCTTTCTGACGAGTGCATGCACCCTATAGCAAAAATTTCTCTCTTAAAAACAAACAAAAAGATTAAATTGAGAAAAGCTTAGTTCTGACTCATGACACAGGGCTTTGGGAAGAGAATTATATACATATCTTGGGCTTCTTCAACAAGTCAAGAGCAGCATTCACTGGCTCAGAATTCTCGCCACCGTCCATGTATGTGAGAACTCTAGGGAGGTCAGGGAGTTCTATTTAGAAATGTTTGTGATCAGAGAAGGTGACCAGCCACCTTCCCACCTGGACCCCACAGAGCCTCTGTCTAAGAGTCAGCCCTGGGCTGGGGAGATCCTTGGGAGGCACCTCCTGGATGCAGAGTTCTCCCAGGGTATATTCACATGTTAGTTCCCTGGCTTATACAGCTCTCTGGGAAAATGGAGTGGCTGTTACCAGCCCTCTGTTACAGAGGAGAAAGAAGCCACCACAGAAGCAGAGTGACAACATGTCACTGAGCAAGGGGGCTTCATAGCTGTCTTCTGACCCCAGACCTCAGAGTGCTAGAGCAGGCTGGCTACATCCCGACCATCCCAACATAGAAAGAGCTGTGATTCATCAAACAGAGCTCGAGTTTCCCCAGGGATCTTCGCTTAGTCTCCCTTCCACAGCTTTGGTCCAGCCTCCCTACCTAACCCCATGCCTAACCCTTCCCCCCAAAATTTGCTCTGGTTTTTTTTCAATAATAATAAAATAATACTTGTTTGTTTTTTCATGTATAAATTAGGGGCATGAGTTCTGGGGCCCAACAAACCTAATTCCAAATCCTGATGCTGCCCCATATTAATTCTTAGTTTTGAGCAAATCACTTGGTTTATCTAAGCCTCAGTTACCTCACGGATCAAATGGGCCTAAAACCGAACTCACTGGGTTCTCGAGAGGACTGAACGGGACTGTACACGTAGGCTTCTGGCGTGGAAGAGGCTCTCCTTAAATGTCAGAGATTTGCCAGAGGACTTTCCATCTGGCTGGGCCTGCTAACCCAGGTCCCTGACTGATAGGGTGTCCTAGTGGACCGCCTGCCCAGAAAGCCCCCACCCTGGAGGACGGTTGCCACGAGGGGGGTAGTGGTCACCACTGGAGAGAGTACATGGCAGGATAAGTCATGGGGGGTGAGGACTAATCCAAGTAGCAACCATGAAACTGTTACTATTTCTACCCTGTATTTCCCTTTGACTCCCCCTTTGGGTTCACTACGCTAGCAAACAGTAGAGATAGAGAGACCCCGTCGGCCATTTGCTCTGATCACCCCAACCCCCTTCACTTACTCAGTTGGGAATGTGGCCAGCAGGTACTGACCAGCAGCTAGGTGCTGGGCGGGATCTGGGATAAAGAGATGGTGTAGACTTGATCTCTGAGCTGCAGGAGCTCTGAGTTATTTTCCAGGTGGAGACTAAGACTCAGAGAGCTAGAGTGACCGTCCCAAGCCACACCACATCTTAGAGCCTGAGCCAGTCCCAGATCCCCCAAGGCCACCACTCAAGCTTCTCCCTACAATACAAAGGCTGACCAACACCCCTCAAGGATGCTCACAACTTAGCTGCTCACCTTCCTTGACTTGGAGGTCTTTTGCTTCACTAACCTTAACCTTCGGAACAGGCTACTGAGCCCCTGGTCACCCTACCATCTGCCAGGGTCTTGGTGAAGGAACACCTACCTGCAGTTACCGTCCTCATTATCATCACTGGGACCTAACTTCCTGGGGGAGAAGCTTCAGCCATATATTTCCTAAATTCAAGGATCCACACTCTTCATTTTGACTTCTCACTGATACTCTCAGCTTGATTTCCAAGTTCCTTTTTGAAAAGGAGACCGAAAGCGGGGCTACAGAATGGTTTCACTCTTTTTTTTTTTTTTTTTTTTTTTTTTTTTTTTTTGCAAGTGCTCTTCCTCTTCCAGGACTCTGACGCAACATTTGCATATAAACACACCAGCCAAAACTAACAGCTCTTGTGTGTTCAGAATCGCCTGAACTGTCAACTCTTATAAACATCAGTTAGGCATTTTATCCACATCTTTGTGGTGTGCGTTTTTTTTTTGTTTGTTTGTTTTGAGAGGTTTTTTTTTTTTTTTCCACTATAGTACGGCGCGTGCGCTCTCCAGACAGACAGAGAGAGACATAGAGACAGAAAGCGAGAAATCTCCCCCCAGGGGGGATGGTCACGCCGCAATCTCTTCTCCTCCATTCTCCTCCCGAGATCTTGGGCACGCATGCAAATGCGCCCGGCGTGAGTTTTAAGCCACCGGGTCCGGGACACGAACCGCAGTCGACTACGTGGGAGTCCAGAGACATAGCCATTACGCTAACTGCTGGTTCCCTGTGGTGTGCGTTTTAAGAACCTGTTTTACGTAAGATGAGGATGGCATGAAACGAAAGCAAAACAGAAGCCTAAGGGCTTAGGAGACTTTCCAGGGGGCAAGGCGCTCCTGTTGGAGGTGCAGGGTGGGGCGTGGGGCTATGGTGGGGTGTGGGCTATGGTGGGGCGTGGGCTATGGTGGGGCGTGGGCTATGGTGGGGCGTGGGCTATGGTGTTGAAAGTTGGAGGGGTTGTTGGGAGTACCTGATATCATGCCCCAGAACCCCTGAAGTAGTTTGGATTTTACTGTGTCTTTCAGCAAAATGATGCTTCAACACCCAGGCCAGGTCTCTGCCTCAGAAGTGAGTGCCACCGCCATCGTCCCATGCCTGTCCCCTCCTGGGTCACTGGTTTTTGAGGATTTTGCTAACCTGACACCCTTTGTCAAGGAAGAGCTGAGGTTTGCCATCCAGAACAAGCACCTCTGCCACCGGATGTCCTCTGCACTGGAGTCAGTCACTGTGAGCGACAGACCCCTCGAGATGTCAGTCATGAAAGCCGAGGTGGGTTCTGCGCAGGCGTTTATTCTTTCAGAGGGTTTTATCGCACACCTAGCGTGTGCCAGGCGTGTTCTAAGCAGGAGGCTATCGTTGGGAGCTAAACAGACAAAACCACTGCCCTCGGGGAGCTGACCTTGTACTGGGAGGACGCGGCCAAACAGAGCGAGCATGCGTGATATGAGAGACAGATGCAGAGGAGACAAAGCAGGGAGGGGGTCTGGGGGAGTGCGGAGGGGTGGGATTCTGCTTTAAATTAGGAGGTCAGGGAAGGCTTCATTGATAGGGACCTTGAGCAGACCCTTAAAGGAGGAGAGGGAGGGAACATGTGGGTATCTTGGCAGAAAAGATGAAGGGCACTGAGGTGTGAATGTGGTCCAATTCGGGGGGACAGAGGGTGAGGAAGGAGGGAAATAAGAGTGGATTGGGTGGGGCCTTATAGACTATTTCAAATATATGGCTGGGTGCTCAGAGTGAGATGGGAAGGCCTTGGAGGACTTTAGAGCAGAGGAGCCGCATGGTCCGGCTTATCATTTTAAATGATCACCTTGGCTGTCTTGTTGAGAATGGGCCTTGAGGGCAAGAGCTGAAGCAAGACCAGGGCAGGATAAGCAGGGAGGCTCGGGTCAGGCTGGACTCAAGGGGCCGAGACATGGTGGGCTCTTGCACCTGACCTGAAGGCCATGCTAATTTACTGACAGGCTAGTGTGGGGTGTGAGAGGAAGAGAGGACTCCAGGGTGACTCTGAATCTTCTGGCCTGCACAACTGTAAGAATGGAGTGTTCCTTTGCTACTGAGATGGAGACTGTTGGCTCTTGGGCAGCAACAAGAGCAGAAGTTCCGTCCTGTCCTCCTCCCCCGTGGGGATGTTGGGCTGGCAGCTGGGTGTGTGGGCCTGAAGTGCAGAGGGGGTCAGGGCTAGAGACATGCAGTTGTAAGTCATAAGCACAGAGATGGCATTTAAAGGCATGAGGTGGGATGAGGTCGCCTTCTGTGTGGAGTCTGAAGAAGCAGAGTATGGTGGTTATTTTCACCACTACCAGGACCTAGAGTCCTGACAGTGCAAAATACGAGGCATTCAGCCCCACTCTTCCCTGCAGCAATACTCCTAGCCTTGGTGCCCGGTGTCTTTACTTCTGTGGCGGGTTGCCCTGTTCCCCATGTAGCAACCTTTTGTAAGATGCCTGGAATGGCCAACATGGCGAGAACTACCTGAAGGTGGTTGTAAGCCATGCTGTGGTGGCTCACGGGTGTCGGAGCCCAGCTCTCACCTTTGTGTTGGCCTTTCCCTCCTGCTTCCCTCCATGTCACACTTACTTACTGCATGATTGCAGCCTTTGGACAAGGGATGATGGAACTGGCCCATTAGAATGAGTTTTAAAAGTGACTGGGGGCAGGGCTTATCATGCAGTAGTTAAATGCTTAAGCAGAGTGGTGAAGTAGAGGAAGCTGGATCCCACATGACTGACCAGGGTTCAAGTCCCAGCTCTGGCAGTTTGAAAAACATGCTAGATGAGCACATACCTGTCTAGGATCCTGACGGGATGGAGGTAGAGGAAGGCGGATTGTGGCATGACCAGGCCCTGTTGGGAGGAGCTTTCTCTCCCTCCCTCTCTCTCTCTCATGTACACTTTCTGACATTAAAAAAAAAAAAAAAAAAAAAAAAAAAAAAAAAAACGGGTGTAGGGCCAGCAAGTGGCATGGTGGTTGGGGTGCTGGACTCCCACTTGGTCAACAGAGTTCGAGTCCTGGACCTGGTGGTAACTTGCTTTCTCACTTTCTCTCTCATTCTCTCTATCTCTCTCTCTCGTGAGTGCATGTGCACTATAGCAAATTATAAGAAAAATGATCATAATAAATAAAATTTTAAAAAGGTAACTGGTTGAAAATCTTATGATTGTATAAGGACTCCTGCCTAGGACTGATCTGAGGGTTAAATGAGGTGCCTTTTATTAGCGGTCCAGCAGAGAGCCTGGCCAAGAGAATAGTAGCCAAGACCTGCCAGGACACAGTACCCATGGGCATCAGTGGGGACTAACCTCAGAGGAGGTCGCAGAGCGAGGTAGCATTCCCCACAAAGGGCTCAGCAGTGTCAGTCCAGTCCTGGACAGTGCAGGTGGACCATGGGGCACTCGGGCAGATTTGTTTTTTTTCTAATTAAGTACCATGAGGGTAGTAGAAGTAGTAGAATTCTCATAGCAAGAAAGAAAGCATTTTGGAAGGACATCGGGAAGGTCTTACAGAGGAATAAGTGGGCAGTCTGTCATGAAAGCCACCCATCTCGCTTGCTCAGGTTCTGTGTTCACCAAGGTCACCACGGTCAGTTTAACACACTGATGACCTGCGGGGGAAGAGGATGCACCAGCACACCTAGTTGAATTTACTGCCCCCCTTGGTTATGTAGTTGTCATCTTAGGAATAAGACACTGAGTCTGTAGAACCCCTGGGCATCCTGTGCATCTGGGTTGCATGGGTGGGTGAGGGGTAATAGAGCTGACCCATGAGTCAGGACGAGGTCCTGTTTCCCAGATCTCAGTCACCTCTGGGAAGCCACAGCTGTGGCCAGGAGACAACACAGGAAAGGGAACCAGGGCCTGGGTTTATGGGTTTTATAGCCTATTGTTCTGGTGACAATGAGCTGGGGACTCCTAAGGCCTTTCTGGGCACTTTACTACTGGTCTCTCTCCCTCCATTCCCTCCTAAGAGGGACTGGAACTAAATGGTCTTTAGAAAGTCATTTCCATCCTGGACAGTCGATCCCTCGTGGATTTATTCTACTTTCAACTACTACCCTAGGAGCAAACTCTAATCCCTCACCCCCATCCAGAATATCACACGGTTGCAGAGGAAATGCTGAGTTCTTGAAGAAGATAATGCTGGTGAGGTGAATAATCACAAAGCTAAACACTGGGCAGAGCACTTCACACCCTTAACTAATTTGGTCTTCACTGCAACCCTATTAGGTAGACAGTGCTATTGATCTCATTTTGCAAATGAGGAAACTGAGGTTCAGAGAGTATGGTAACTCGCCCATAATAAGCAGTGAAGCTGGGAGACAAAACCGGTTTCGTCTAGAGCTTCAAGGTGTGCCTGTGTGGTTCTGGGGTCCAAGATGTGATGGGGGTGCTTGCACTCTCCATTTTTCCCTCTTGGGCTTTGTTTCTCTAAATTGCAAGGCCTTCCATCTCAGTCCAAGCAAAGCAGTGTCTGCTAATCATTGTGAGATGAGAAAGCCTTTGGAGGGCTTTTGAGTGGAGGAGCAACGTGGTCCAGCGTATCGTTTTAAGTGATCACCCTGGCTGCCTTGTTGAGAATGACCCTGAGAGCAAGAGCAGACATGAGACCAGGGCAGCCATCCGTATGAGCAGGGAGGCTCTCGGTCAGGCTGGGTGATTATGGCATCCTGGGAGCGCTTTGGTTTGAGGTTGAGGTGTCCCTCTGTCCAGTGCAGTGACAAGTGATGTTAAGGGGTCTGACACTGACAGCCTCAACTGTCACCCACTAGGCACCTTGTGGGTACTTCTTCCCAGCTGGGACTTTGGTCTCTAAGTTCAGTTGAGTGGCGGGATGTTGCTGATCCCCCATTGGTCACAAACAAACTCAGGATCTAAGTGAACCTCCCTTTCCCACCTATGTATATGTCTAAAATCAACACACACACACACACACACCCCACAGATTAAAAGGGAAAGGTAAGCTGCATAAACTGTTGGTTAAGCCATTAACTGACTTACATTTGATTTGTCTGATTTATTTTAGTTTGGGGCATATTGGTCACTACTTGTTTTTATAATTAAAGCACAGTCTACTTCAGATTATCTGGTGTATTTCCATACCTCTAATATTAACATAGAGAGCTGATTAATATGTCGGGTAACAATTCCCTCCTTAAAATAAATTGTGTGATTGTTTATTTATGTATTTAATAAAGATAGAGTGTGTAAAGTAAGATTTACAAAATAAATTTTATGTTAAAAAATAGGGTAGGTTTTGTTCTCAGAAGATTCCCAGGGCTGGCACAGGGGACGTCAGTGTTTATTTGTTGGCTGAATCAATGGATGGTGCTAGCTCACCATCTGCAGGGGGCACCCAACACATAGGCTGATTAAGCTCCAGTGCTTCTAAATTTGGGAAGGTGGTGCTGTGATGCCAAGTGAATCCAGAGAGAACTGGGGTTGTCCTTGGAACTTAAAGAAGAAGAGGTAGAAGAAAGAGTGACTAGGTGATACTCCCGAGATCAGTTCTGTTCTAGGAGAGAGGCCATTATTTACCGAACAGACTCTGTCTCTTGCTTTAAATAATTAGTACCAACAGTTGCCAATTTAAATATCAAACTCTTAATTTATTTTATTCTTTTTTTTTAATTTTACTTATTCACTTATTTATTGTAACTTGACCAGAGAGAGACATATATACACAGAGAGAGAGAGGGAAAGTGAGAAAGCAAGGCACCAGGTCCAAGACTCGAACCATGGTCGGCCATGTGGGAGTGTCTAGAACCTTAACCACCATGCCACCTGATGGTCCCAATTTCTTTTATTCTTAATTTTATGTATTATTATTATTTTAATTTGTAGGGCACATGTGCTCATGAGAGAGAGAGAGAGTGAGTGAGAATGTAAGCTACCAGGTCACGGACTTGAACCATGGTCAACCATATGGGAGTCCAGCACTTTAACCACTATATCCTTTATTTTAAAATCCAAATGCATTTTAAATTAGGTTAAATTTTACTTTACTGATATTCCTGATATAGTTCTATATTAGCTAAGAGTTCTTTGATTTCATTATTCTTTCTCAAGTGTGGAGATGTGTGCAGAGGAGTTCCACACTAAAGTCTAGGGCTTTATTTTTTCTCTGAGTCCCTTAGCCTCAGGGCTGCCTCAGTTTGCCAGTTTTTGCTGGCAATAAAAGACAGCGTATTTCAGTTGGGTGGTATTTCTTGCCTTCTGTTAAATATGCACCGTTTGGATTTTCTAGGTAGCCCCTGAAGAAGATGAAAGGAAAAAGAGGCGAAGGGAGAGAAATAAGATTGCAGCCGCCAAGTGCCGAAACAAGAAGAAGGAGAAGACAGAATGCCTTCAGAAAGTGAGTGCTTCTGCCTGCCCCTTCCCCTTGCCCATGCCTGTCCCCACCATTCTCACATGGTATAGCTAGCAAAAGGAGCCTTACTGAACCAGCCAGGTGGTGTGGTTAAAGCGGTTGGATTCCACATAGCTGACTACGTGGTTCAAGTCCTGGACCCCGCGGCTTAAAAACACGTGTGTGTGCATGCCCTGAATCCTTAGAAGAACATGAAGAAGGAGAGATTGTGACATGATCACCCCCCAGGGAGTGCTTTCTCACTTTCTCTCTCTCTCTCTCTCTCTTTCTTTATCTCTGGCAAGTACACAGGCCTTGTAACCAAAATTAAAAGAAAAGAAAGGCGCCCAGTTATGTTTTCCCAGTCAGCCTTGTAAACTGGAAGCAGAAATGCCCATCGCAGCAAAGCTGTCTGCATGGTGGCTGTGACCGGGTCTGTGAAAGGCAGGCGTGTGAATTACAAACCACAAGAACATGGGATGCCCAGACTCCCAGCGGCTCTGGCCAGTCCATACACGCTCTGCGGCTTCCAGCCCATTGAAGAGGTTCCACTTGCCCATTTTCCTGAGAAAAAGAAGCTGCCAGCTCTCATTTGGTTCACTATGAAAGCCTTTAATTAATCTCTTTAAACAAGTTTTTTCCTTAATCCACAAGCAGTGATACAGTTTCTTTACATTCCTGTCTGGTTCTTAACCCGGGCATCATTTTCCCTGGCTCATCAGCCCCCTGCCCTCCAAGAAATACCAAAGGGAGCAGCATTTGTGGGCAGTGGGATAGACCATTGTGCCCAGCAACCTTTCTTTTTATAGGCATTTTTTTTTTTTAGAGAGAGAGATTTTTGCCATAGGGTGCGTGTGCTCTCCATTCAGACAGAGAGAGACAGACATAGAGACAGAAAGTGAGAAATCACCCCCCAGGGGAGATGGCCACACCGCAGTCCCTTCTCCTTCATTCTCCTCTCGGGATCTTGGGCACGCATGCACACATGCCCGGCGTGAGTTTTAAGCCACTGGGTCCAGGACGCAAACTGCGGTCGACTACATGGGCATCCAGTGACATAACCATTACGCTAACTGCTGGTCTCCCTCTTTTTATAGGCATTTTTTAAAGCTATTTATTTAATGTTGTTTGTTGTATTATTGTTTTTTTAAAATTCACTTATTTAATTCCATTTATTTTTTTATAATTATTTTATTTTATTTATTCATTCATTTATTTTTTAATTTGACCAGAGAGAGACAGAGGGTGAGAGTGAGAGAGAGAGGAAGTGAGAAAGCAAGCCACCAGATTCAGGACTCGAACCCTGGTCAGCCATGTGGGAGTGTCCAGCACCTTAACCACCACACCACCTGCTGATCCCCAATCCACTTACTGTCATTATTATTTTTTAGTTTGACCAGCTAGAGATGGATAGAGAGAGAAAGGAAAAGTGAGAAAGCACGCCACCAGGTCCAGGACTCAAACCACTGTCGGTCATGTGGGAGTCCAGCACCTTAACCACCATTCCACCTCCCATGTTGTTACTATTTTTTAATTCAGCCAGAGAGAAAGAAAGAAAGAAAGGGAAGGTTAGGAAGCAAGCCACCAGGTCTGGAACTTGAACCATAGTTGGCCATGTGGGAGTTCAGTACCTTAAACACCACACCACCTGCTGTCCCCAGGAATTTTTTTTTCAAGGTTTATTTATCTCTTTCATGAGCAAAAGAGAGAAAAAGGGTGTTGATGGAGAGAAAGACAGACAACCTCCCCAACAGAATCTTTTCTAAAAATGTATTTATTGGGAACCAGCAGTTAGCGTAATGGCTATGTCGCTGGACTCCCACGTAGTCGACCGCGGTTTGCGTCCCAGACCCGGTGGCTTAAAACTCATGCCGGGCGCGTGTGCGTGCGTGCCCAAGATCCCGAGAGGAGAATGGAGGAGAAGGGATTGCGGCTTGGCCATCCCCTTTGGCGGGTGATTTCTCGCTGTCTCTATGTCTCTCTCTGTCTGTCTGGCGCGCGCACGCGCCCTATAGTGAAAACCTCTCCAAAAAAAATGTATTTATTTAATTTTATTTATTATTATTATTATTATTATTTAATTTGACCAGAGAGTGACAGTGGCAGGGGAGTGAGAAAGCAAACTACTAGGTCTGGGACACAAACTGTGGTTGGCCATATGGGAGTCCAGTGCCCTAACCACCATGCCACTTACCAGCTCCCTCACCCCCCAACAGGATCTTGACTCCATGATCCTCCCCTAGCCTCAGTCAGTCCCAAGTTTGGGGGTACATGTTTGCCCAGAGAACTCGAGAATTTCCAGACACACATCTGGAACCTTCCTACGTGGTCAGCCTGGCAGAGTCGTGTTGGACCACCGTGCCACCAACCAGCCCCCGAGCCCCCAGCAGCCTTTCTGATGGCTGTGTCCTTTCCCCCAAGCACGGACAGGCCAGACCAGAGTCTTAACCCAGGTTCTACAGGGTTTCTTGAGTTCTGTTGGGGTCTTTAGGGGTCAGTGGAAATCAGGAACTTTCGTGTGTTGCTGAGTATACTTTTTTCCTGGGGAGATGCCCTTCTCAGTGAGATGAGAAACTCCCCAAACACTAAGCACCAGGGGTCTGGTTTCCACTCCCACCGCCCAAGGCCCTTGCAGGTCCAGAAGCCCACCTGTGTGCTGTTGGACTCACGCAAAGGGATCCCTGAACTGTTGGTTCTTCGGCCTCAGAATTAGAGTCACAACTCACCTCTGTGGCAGCTCCAGGGCTTCTCTAAAGTCCCCAGGTTCAAAGGCTGCTCGAGGATCTGTGTTTTCCCAAACCTGGTGCTGCCTCTTATCCTGTAGGGAATCGTAGCAGGGAGCAGATGGAGTTCCCTCTGCAGGCTCTCCCAGCCGATGAGCCCCAAGGTGTCACATCCAGGCGGCACCCGCAGACCTCCCCCTCTCCTGGCCCTGGGCTCTGTCCCTCATGCCTCTATTTCTTCTTCCCAGGAGTCTGAGAAGCTGGAGAGTGTGAATGACGAGCTGA